CGTTTGAAAGTGTGTTATAAAAATCCATGCTGGTTTGCCCCAGAAATCTATTCTGTAATTTCAAGTGTGTTCCCAGGACTTTTACATCTGCAGAGCCTAATCTAATAGAAAGATTGATCAGGAAAGGGAGATATATTATTAACTGATGCAATTCATTTCTGTAAGATGCCACGGAGGGAAACAGCAGGAGACTTTGAAAAAAAGATCCAAGGTATTTATCGCATGCTAAAAATGTCCATCTGTTTCACCAAACTTTTTACCTGTTAACTGATTTTAAAAATAGTAATGTTTACATTTGATATTAATTTAATTTGTACTCATTTATGGTTTTTTGCAACAGTATTTTTTTTATTATAGTATGCCGTCTTATGCCCCTATATAAGCAGAAAGGAAAATGTGTGGGTGTATAGTTGATAATATATTTTTTTTTTAAAAAATCAGCAGTTCTCAATCAGCTAAGTTTTCACATCTTAGTACCGGATATGCAGGATTTAAACAGCTATGTTTGGAGAAAAAACGGATTTGACAGTCTTAAGCTGCAAACTGGTTTTGTGTTCCTAATCTCACTTGTCTTACCTGCAGCCTTAATGCAAATCTATTATTTTAAAAAGATTGTATGAACAGAGCAGGGGTGGGCAACCTTGGCTCTTTTATGACTTGTGGACTTCCATTCCCAGAATTCCTGAGCCAGCCATGCTGAGGGGAAAGGGAGAGGTTTCCAAGCTGAGCCATACTGGCTCAGGAATTCTGGGAGTTGAAGTCCACGAGTCATGAAGGGGCCATACTTCCCTCATGCTGGCTCAGGAATTCTGGGAGTTGAGGTCCACGAGTCATAAAGCGGCCTAGGCCAGAGGTAGGCAACCTCCTGGCCATGCTTTTCCAAGCTGAGCCATGCTGGCTCAGGAATTCTGGGAGTTGAAGTCCACGAGTCATAAAAGAGCCAAGGTTGCCCACCTCTGAATTATAGCATCCCATGAAGCAATCATGGCTTTGGCCTAGCAAGTAAATGTAAATAGCAACTGTGATTTGTTGCTCAGGATGATGTATGAATCCAGTCCTTTTGCTCTAGAGCAGGGGGTCTACAAACTCGACAAACTTTAAGACTTATGGACTTCAATTCCCAGAATTCCTCCACCAGCCACACATCAACATGCTGCCTGGGGAATTCTGGGAGCTGAAGTCCCTGCACCTTAAAACAACCCAGGTGGAGAAAGACCGTGCAAAAAAGATTTGGCTTCATATATTTTTACAAAGGAATTTCTCCATGAAACCTTTTCCCCCAGTGGACTGCCTGGTAAAATAACTTTTTTTTTTTTAGTTTCCTGCACAAGGGTTGTTTAATTCTCTATTTCAGGGTATTGGGCAAGAAACTCCAATCACCTTCCTTTTTACTTTCCTGGATCTGGGTGAGAAAAGGGGCCAGAACACTTCTCTTGATCTCAAACAGACCAGACTGCTTTGTGTGTGTTTTGTGTGTGTGTGTGTGTGTGTGTGTGTGTGTGTATGTGTCAGGGGCCCCAGCCTCACTGCTCACCACAAAGTCTCGCAGGCCCCAATTGCAAAGACCATCCTTTTCTCGTGTTCTACCTGCGAGGCTGCAGTTCATGGGAAGGGGGTAGTGACCTTTGCAATCTGACATTCCCTGCATATTGAGAGAATCCAAGCTTGATCATAGGCAGGCATCTTTCCAGAGCAAATTCAAGATACCACCTTGGATCATATAAAGCAGGGCTTTTCAACCAGTGGTACGGGTACCACCTGTGGTACATTGGCATCGGCAGGTGGTACGCGACCATCCTAGAAAAGTGGTAGTAGGGGAGGGGAATGAGCTGAACCGGTGGCAGCACCGCACAAGCCTGAGTGAGAGATGGCTGGAGCTGCAGGGCTCAGTAGAAGCGCCAGGATCAGTGCCAGGCTCCAGCTGGAGCTCGGGGCTGATCCTGGCGCTTCTGCTGAGCCCAGAAGAAGCGCCAATCAGCTGGAATGCTGCAGCATCTCCAGGGTCTTGTGATTTACATTCAGATGCTTGGCAACTGATTCATATTTATGATGGTCACAGTGTCCCAAGGTCATGTGAAGTGACCAAAACCTGCTGCAACCACTCAGCAGACGGGGGGAATAAAAACCAAACACCCCCACTCCACCCCCACTGCCAATCCTCAACAGAAATGCTCACAACAATGAAAACCTTGGACAGGAGGAAGAGCGCCATCAGGCGGGCAGGCAGGTGTCTTGCTCGGCTGTGGCTTGGGGGGGCATTTTTTTCAGTGTCATTGTAACTTCGAACAGTCACTAAATGAACTGTTGTAAGTCGAGAACTACCTGTACTTTATCACTTTTTTCCTTTTTTGGGGGGGGGGTCATCAAGTTTTTGACACCTTGCTAAGCGATGGGTGGTACTCGGATGTTGCCATATCCTAAAAGTGGTACAATGGGTGAAAAGGTTGAAAAGCCCTGCCTTAAAAGGCTGAAGAGCCATGGGCTTCCTCCGCGGGCTGTGTAAGACCAGGAGGCTTAAAAATAGCACGTCTGCAAAGCCAGCAACCTCCTGTTATGGCCCCTGCCCTAGGGTCAATGTCTCCTTCAGCCCAGCTGGCTCGGAATTCAACCCACCTGTTCTGAGAAGGCTGTAATTCACCTCCTTATAGCTAAATTTAGGTGGCTTTTACCCCCGCTAAGACTTGCTGCAAAGAGCTGCTTGAGAGCCCCTGATTGCTAAGATTGATTTTTCATTCTTTTTCTATCTAGACAACTGCATCCTGCCTTGCCACCCATTCAGGACCACGGGTGCGTAACAGGCTTCCACGCTAGAACCCGTCAGCACCAACAGCAGTCATTCTTGTGGTTCTGTCTGAACCAGGGGTCTTCAAACGTGGCCCTTTTATGACTTGTGGACTTCAACTCCCAGAATCCCTCAGCCAGGCACGTGTGCCTGGCTGAGGGATTCTGGGAGCTGAAGTCCACAAGTCATAAAAGGGCCACGTTTGAAAATCCCTGGTTTGAACCATTTCTGAATTGACCCAAACTAGAAAAGATAAATCGCATTCAGACACGCAACAAATCCAACTAGGCACAGGGAGACACAGCTTTAAGCAATGCTCTGCTGGCTCTCTTGCAACTTTTAGGAATGAGCTGAGACAATATTTCAGTCTTTTAAAATGTTGGGAGTCAAAAAAAGGCCACGTTCTTGGGAATGCCTCTCTCCATGCTTAGAGAAGTGTTTTCTATAAGACAGGCAAACCCCAGATTACATTTCCTTTTACACATAAGGTCCTTGGTGCTCTCCGAGTTTGACTGCTTTCTTAACAGATGCTTCATTCCAAAATTAGGTAACATCATCAATGCACTGATGATGTTACCTAGCTTGGTAACGAGATGTCTGCAAGAAAACAACTAAACTCAGAGAACTCCAAGGACTCCACAGTTCAACCCTGAGTGGCAGATATTCTCTTCTATCCGGGTGAAGGATGGGGCTAAGAACCTGTAACTTAGTATTTTCGTCAATATCTTGATGCAAGCCCATAAAAGCAGAGTTTGCGACCTGGTGTCAGCAAGTGTGCGTCGTGGTTTTATCAATCTTGGTTGTGGGCATTTAAGTTGCTCAGTACAGAGGCAGGCAACCCTCCTACCTTCTCTATCGCTTGATCGAAACCAGACATGTCAAACACAAGGCCCGGGGGCCAGATGCAGCCCGCGAAGTGGTTTCGTGTGGCCCGCGAAGCCATCCTGGAAACAGTGAGGGAACGGCCCCTGCTGCCTTGGCCCTGGCCCAGGCCGACCGGGAGCCAATGTACAATTTTGTGGTGGCCATCTATGCTGAAACGCATTCAGTCTTAGCTCCACAAGGCCATCTGGAAACAGTGAGGAACCAGCCCCTGCCACGTCGGCCCTGCCCCCTGGGTGCATGCTGGGGAGGTGTCACCCTTTGTGAGGAATGAAGAAATGCACCATGGCCTGGAAGTGACCAGCAAATGGCCTTCGCCTACTTCACATATCTGACTTGATGGGCTCCGGCGGAGGGCTTTCGGAAGGCAGTGAGGCTCCTCCAGTGGACCATGCCTTGGCACTTGCCCCGGTCCCACCCCCTTCTCCCAGAGACCCTCAGATCTGTCCCACTCCTGCCCAGGCCCCCATAGGCACCCTTGATGTGAACGATGCCCACACAATAGACCACACCCACACCATCCACACCCACCAAGCAGGCCACACCCCTCCTGCTCTCCCGCCCCCCCCCCCAAGGGCAACCGCAATGCTGATGCGGCCCTCAATGAAATTGAGTTTGACACCCCTGATCTAAACTCATTGTTGGCCCAGAATGCACATAAACTGCAAAGAGAAACATGGCTTGGACATGTTTGTGTAGTTAAAAAAAAACCACACACACAAATGAAAAGATTGCACAAATTATCATATGATGGAATAAGGAACTTGCTTGAGGTGGAGGACATTAACCAATTTCTCTTTTGAAATTCAAGAGAGAGAGAGAGAGAGAGAGAGAGAGAGAGAGAGAGAGAGAGAGAGAGAGGAAAGGGAGGAGACTGGAAACAGACTTTTCTGTTTCAAGTGCCCTAAGTGTCCTTATCAATAAATGTTTATTAGAAGTTTCCAAACAGAAGATGGATAGTCATCTGTCACAAATGGCCTAATGCACTTGGCTGGGGAATTCTGGGAGTTGAAGTTCACACATTTTCAAGGGACCACGTTTGAGAAACATGGCCTAATGCAGGGGTAGGCAACCTTGGCTCTTTTATGATTCGTGGACTTCAACTCCCAGAATTCCCCAGCCAGCATGGCTGGCTCAGGAATTCTGGGAGTTGAAGTCCACGAGTCATAAAAGAGCCAAGGTTGCCTACCCCTGGCCTAATGGATCCGAGCAGGAAGTCGGATCTAAGGTCCCTTCCAACTCCAGAATTCAAGAATTTCCCTGGACAATGTCAGGGCCATTAGCCAAGTCTCCTCAATAACGCTACCCAAGGGCACCAAAGCTGGTGCCATCTTACCTTGGCACTGTGTCTCCTTCATGGCCGGTTCGTATCCAGCTGCACAAGTACAAGCTCCTACCGGTACCATCCATTCTCCATCCCCGTTACAGTAGAGTTTTAAGGGCACCGATACTTCCACCGCATTGGGGATGCAGGTTCCCGGAGCAATCACCAAGGAGGTCGGCTCTGCCCCAGTCAAGGTCTCCGGGAAGACGGCAAAACCCGCAATGGTGCTGGAACATTTCTTGTAGAAGGTGCGTACGGAGATGAGGGACATGCAGGCCCCCAGATCCTGGAAGGCCAGATAGAAGCCGTTTTTGGAGAGGGGTCCAAAGCTGCGCACCTTGGTGTTCATCCGGCCGGACTCTAGCTTTGAGAAGCTCTCATCGGGGGCGATAGTATCCACTTTGATGTAAGGGTTTTCCATCCAGAAAGGGCTAGAAGCCGAGGCTGAGTCAGTATCCGATTCGTAATAGAAAAGATTGAAGGTCTCTTTGCAAGATCCGGGGATGTTCGGGATGCTGTTACAATCCCTCACGGTAAACTTCAGTTCGACGTAAACCCGCTGGATGTCATGGCGCTGGATAAACTGGGTGCGCAGCCAGTTGTTTTGGTTGGTGTCGCGGACGTTGCACACTTGATAGGTCCGGATGGGGTTCATGGCCTCATCGTAACCGCTGACTTCTTCCCACTAGACAAAACGAAAACGGCATTGGGGGGATTAACAACCCCAAAAACAGGGGAGTCTCGGGAAAAGGGGCAGGGATGGGCTATGAGGGAAGGGCGATCTTCAGGAACACCACGGAGTCCCTTTTCCAAATGCAAACTATATATATATTTTTAAAAAAGCATTCTTATTTACATTTTTAATTGCTTTTATAATCAATGCGGAGAAAGGAAAGGAACAATGCCCCCAAATAATTACAGGACTTAATCATTTGTTTAGTGATTGTTCAAAATTACAACGGCACTGAAAAAAAATCAACTTATGAGCGTTTTCATATTATGACCCTTGCAGCATCCCCAGGGCCATAGGATCAAAATTTGGAAGCTCGGCAACTGGCATGTACTTAGGACGGTTGCAGTGTCCCGGGGTCACGTGATCCGCTTTTGCAAACTTTTGACAAGCCAAGTCGATGGGAAGCCAGATTCACTTAACAACCATGTTACTCATTTAACAGCTGCAGTGATTCACTTAAAAACTGTGGCAAGAAAGGTCGTAAAATGGGGCAAAACTCACTTAACAATTGTCTTGCTTAGCAATGGAAATTTGGGGCTCAATTGGGGTCGTAGGTCAAGAACTACGTAGGTAATAACATAATTCTCAAAGAGAAAAAAAAACGTTTAAAAAGTGCTTTAAAAATGAAAAAAAATACAAGGGAAACGAAAACAAGAGCATAATAGTCAACGGTTAAAATTCTCTACTTAACTAATGTAAATATTATTCAAGTGCATATATATTTATTTCTAGTACACTTATGTAACTATCCTTCTTTTTTTAATGTGCCATATTGTATATAAACAAGTTCCATATTTTATTAGCCTTGTCTATACAAAGTTGACATCTATAGGCAATATAGGTGGCAAATCAGGTCTTTGTTGTGAGAATGAAGGTATTTATTTTTCCATTTCAAATGAAAACTATTTGGAAATTTTAGGTGTGATGATAGAAGAGTAATTTGCTACGAATCCTTCAACCTATATAAACTACCACAGATATCCTGGGAAACTTTGCACTGTTTCTCTTCCTTTGCGAAATTCCTTTTCTACCTGTTATTATTTATTCTTAATGTGGATTACAGGTAGTTCTTGACTTACGACTTCAATTGAGCCCCAAAATTTCCGTTGCTAAGTGAGACATTTCTTAAGTGAACTTTGCCCCCATTTTACAGCCTTTCTTGCAACCGTTGTTAAGTGAATCACTGCAGTTGTGAACTGAATAACACGGTTGTTAAGTGGATCTGGCTTCCCCATCTGGCTTCCCCATTGACTTTGCTTTGTCAGATGGTCGCAAAAGGGGATCACATGACCCTGGGACGCTGCAAACGTCATAAATATGAGTCAGTTGCCAAGCATCTGAATTTTGAACACGTGACTACGGGGATGCTGCAACGGCCTTAAGTGTGTCATAAGTCACTTTTTTCCAGTGTCGTCACAACTTCAAACGGTCACTAAATGAACTGTTGTAATTCGAGGACTGCCTTATATAGTAGGGTGGAGGGCAGAGAATGAAAGTTCTCTTTTGTCTGTTGAGAATCTACTTTAATATCCGGCTTCTTTTATATCAAAAGTGACACTGCCTCAATGCCTGCATGTATCATAAGGACTAGAAACAAGGGGAAGATTTGCTTTTAATTTACCGGAAGGAAAATCCACCCAAATCTAGGACTAACCTGTATAATTAGATAATGCTTCTTCTGAAATCGCAAGAAATTTAAATTTCAGATACCAAGAATGGGATGTCTTTCTTTATGCAACATTTACCACTTAAACCTCCATGGTTTTGCCATACCTATGCAGGTAGTCCTTGACTTAAAGCTATTTGTTTAGTGACCATTTGAAGGTACCATGTCAATGAAAAAAGTGATTCATGACCAGTCCTCGCACTTAGGGAACCATCGCAGCATCCCCACAGTCACGTAATCAAAATATAGTGCTTGGCATGTATTTATAATGGCCGCAGCATTCCTGGCCTGAAGACCAAAACATACGAAGAATGGCTGCAGGACTTGGGTTTGGCTAGTCCAGGGATAGGCAACCTTGGCTCCTTTATGACTCGTGGACTTCAACTCCCAGAATTCCTGAGCCAGCCATGCTGAGGGGAAAAGGAGAGGTTTCCAAGCTGAGCCAAGCTGGCTCAGGAATTCTGGGAGTTGAAGTCCACAAGTCATGAAGGGGCCATAGTTCCCCCATGCTGGCTCAGGAATTCTGGAGTTGAAGTCCATGAGTCATGAAGGGGCCATAGTTCCCCCATGCTGGCTCAGGAATTCTGGAGTTGGTCCTCGAGTCATAAAAGCCAAGGTTGCCTACCCCTGGGCTAGTCTAAAGAAAAGAAGAAACAGGGGAGACATGATAGCAGTGTTCCAGTATCTGAGGGGCTGGCACAAGGCAGAGGGGGGCAGGTTGTTCACCAGAGCACCAGAGGGAAGGACAAGAAACAATGGTTGGAAGCTGATCAAAGAGAGAAGCAACCTGGAATTAAGGAGAAACTTCCTGACAGTGAGGACAATTAACGAGTGGAACAGCTTGCCCCCAGAAATCGTGGGTGCTCCATCACTGGAGATTTTTAAGAAGAGGCTAGACATTCAACTGTCTGAGACGATATAGGATCTCCTACTTGAGCAGGGGGCTGGACTAGAAGACCTCCAAGGTCCCTTCTAGCTCTATTCTATTTCAAGATTCTATTTGCAACCTTCCCTGGTAGCTTCTGACAGGCAAAGTCAGTGGGAGAAGCCAGATTCACTTAACCACATTGTGATTCACTGAACAACTGCAGTGACTGGCTTAACAACCCGTGACGAAAAGGCCATAATGTTTTGTGCGGCTCACTTAACCACTGTTTTGCTTAGCCACAGAAATATTGATCCTATTTGTGGCCATAAACTGAGGACAAGCTGAGAGAAATCAACAGCTATCTGACCTGACAGTCTGTCTGCTATCTGAGGTCCTTCATTATCTAAAAAACCCAAGGTTCCATCAAAAAGAAGCGCCCCTTTTCTTTGATTTATATTAAAACCAATTCCCTTTTGTCCCAAAAGTGCTTTTTCAAAATGGCGACTGGACTTTGTTTTTCCTTGAAGATGTTTCGCTTCTCATCCAAAGAAGCTTCTTCAGTTCTGACTGAATGGTGGAGGAGGGAAGGATTTATGTTCCTTGCAGTCCTTTGGTCGTTAGCTCTCTTTCTGAGGGTCACTGAGGCCACTTGGCGGTTTATCTGTGCCCTCAGGGTCACCTGAGATAAATCTCCAGATAAACCTCCAAATGGCCTCAACGATCCTCAGAAAGAGGGCTAACGACCAGAGGACTGCAAGGAATATAAATCCTTCCCTCCTCCACCATTCAGTCAGAACTGAAGAAGCTTCTTTGGATGAGAAGCGAAAAGTCTCCAAGGAAAATAAAGAAAGTCCAATTGCCTTTTGAAAAAAAAAAAAAAACACCATCTTTGGGACAACTACAGACCTGGATGACTGAGAAACTCCAGAGACAAATTCCCATTGGAGAGTGGATGAACTGGAAAGCACCGGCAGGACAAAACGAAAAAAATGAAATCTGCACAGCATCAACTAGCAAACGTGACTCGACCTCAAAACTGGAAATCCAAATAGAAAATTTGGTACAAACAACTTGAGCAGGTCCTTGCGGTGTTCCTAGCCCAGACTTGGGAGAGGGAAAAAAAAACAAAAAACCCTTCACCTATCAACTCTGACTGGTGCAAAGAGAAGATGGACAGATTTTTTTTCTCCCAGCATTGACGGACCGCGAAGCCTTCCTTGTTTGGGAATGAGATGCAATGGAAAAAAAACGTCGAAGCCACTTGCATTCTGAAGTGGGGCCGCCTACTTAAAGAAAAACTTAAAAAAACTTTTGTGAGCAAAAGGTGCGGAAGAAGTGGGGAGAAATAGCCATTCCAGCTGCTAACTGCTTCTAAATGCAAAACCTTTTCTGGCAGTCAGGAAGTCAATAAAGGTGTTAATGAATAACGCGATCCAGTAAAATTAATAAACAAATGGGGCCTGAGAACGCTTGGTGCCCACAGGGCAAATGCTCGCTTCCCAACAGCCAAGGACCAAGAGGCTGCTTTGGAATACATTAACCTCTAAATGTTCAAAAACACAGGTGATAGAAACCTGGGATGGAGCTTGTATCCAAAGTTTGGTTTTCACATCATTTATAGCAGAATCAATTAAGAACAACAAAAGAATAATTAAGAATAACAAGATAACAGAGTTGGAAGGGACCTTGGAGGTCATCTAGTCCAACCCCCTGCTCAGGCAGGATACCCTACATCCTTTCAGACAGCCTCTTCTTAAAAACTTCCAGTGTTGGAGCATTCACCGCTTCTGGAGGCAGGTTGTTCCACTGGTTAATTGTTCTAACGGTCAGGAAGTTTCTCCTTAGTTCTAGGTTGCTTCTCTCCTTGATTACTTTCCATCAGTTGCTTCTTGTCCTGCCTTTAGGCGCTTTGGAGAACAGCTTGACTTCTCGAAAGCATTGAAGACCTGGCTTGTCCCCAAGCACTAGGACAGTGATGGCGAACCTTTTAGAGACTGAGTCCCCAAAATGCAACCCAAATCCACTTATGCATCATTGAGTGCCGGTTGGGTGTGGCCAATTGGGTGGGTTGGCCCATTGGGTGGGCGTGACTGCAGTGGTAACGGCAGACTGGGTGGGACTAAAAAGTTCAATCAATCAATTCCAACTTTGCAAGATCTTTTTTTTTTCCCACGAGAAGTTGAAATTGACTGAACTTTTTTTTTTTTTTTGCACATGGCAGCGGAGGCCTAAAGCGAAAAGGTTTTATAAAACCCAGCTGAAGGCCTAGGATTGGGGCGACGGCGCGCGTGCCCACAGAGGGGGCTCTGAGTGCCACCTCTGGCACCCGTGCCATAGCCTTGCCACTACTGCACTAGGATAAGATTGGAGGACTGGTCCTCAGAAATTGGCACCAAGTTTCTTTGGTTTTTAATGTTTTTAACATGTTTGGCTTTATAGCTTTAATATGGCTTTGTATGCTGTTTTAACTTTGGATTGGGAGCCGCCCAGATTTGGTGGCTATAGAAATGTTTTAATTAAGTCAATAAATAAATGTTTTGATAAAGGAGAACATTTGTAGCTCCTGGTTGAAATAAGGGGTCCTTGGTACTCTCTGAGTTTGATCGTTCTCTTGCAGATGGTTTCATTACCCAGACTAGGTACTTTTATCAGTGTTGCACTGATGGTGTTACCTAGTTTGGTAATGAAACGTCTGCAAGAAAACAACTAAGCTCAGAAAGCACCAAGGACTCCTCAAATAGAAATTTATTGGGCTGTAAAGGTGACATTAAAAGAACTGTGCTTTCAGATTTGGAAGATTCTGTTAATGTAACAGAATAACAGAGTTGGAAGGGACCTTAGAGGTCATCTAGTCCAACCCCCTGCTCAGGCAGGAAGCCCTATACCATTTCAGGCAAAAGCTTTACAATAAAATAGAATTAGCTTATCCGGTCGTGTTTCCTGTCTGGTTCTACCTGGTGAGGCTGACATTCCTATATTCATAATTTACAATAGTATTCCTGCATGGCAGGTTTGGCTGAGAGAGGAAGAGCCCCAAAATTATCCAGGGAGCTTCTGGGCCTAAGGCTGGGCTAGAACCCATGGGTTCTTGGTCTCTAGCGCAGTGCCTTTAACCACTACACCAAACTAGTTCTCAACCTAATTCTTTACCTCTCTGTTCTTCATTAAAAGGCCAAGGTAATTACATTTCATGAGTACAGTCATAGAATCTCATTTCCATATGCATAAGGCAGCCAACATTTTTGCCCTACCCCACGTGAAATGGCCTTTAAAAAAAAAAACACCTTCCAAATTACAGAAATGTTTACCCATATGCAGTTTCTGATGTTGGCTTCCCCCCCAAAATGCAAATTTTTCAGTGATCAGATTTACACAATTTTTATGGGTTCCAAGATTGTAAGCCTCACAGGTAGATTTTTTTTTCCCCCTCACTGCCACACAGGGCTGGAAAGAAGCTTCAAAGCTGCAAATGAGCCCAGACAGACGAAGGAAACGTGAGAAAGAGAAAGAAGAGAGGAGAAAGGAAAGAGAGGCAGTTTATTTTCCCATTTAGATGAAGTTCAGCATCCTTTTCAATCTCCCTTCCCAGAAAAACAGCACCTCTTACCCCGGTCTCTGGATGAGCTGTCCACGCCAACTCGGACGTCACCCATTTGGTGTCCATCAACGTTTCTAGAAAGGGGAAAGAGAAAAAACACAATCAATATTCCAAAAAACCCCAAACACTCTGGATGGCCCTAAAATGGTGCCGCAGGACGATGGGAACATTAATCTACCAGATCTGGAGGGTACAGATAGTCCTTGACTTACGACCACAACTGACTCCACAATAGCTAAGCAAGCCGAAGTGAGTTTTGCTGCTTTTTATGACTTTTCTTGTCACAATTGTTAAGTGAATCACTGCAGTTATTAAGTTAGTCACACGGTTATTAAGTGCATCTGGCTTTCCCATTGTCAGCAGGTCACAAAAGGGAATCACAGGACTCCGGGACACTGCAACCGTCATAAATACGAGTCAGTTGCCAAGCGTCTGAGCTCTGATCACATGACCATGGGGGAGGGGAGGGTGCTGCAACGGTTGTAAGTGTAAAAAACGGTCATATGTCACTCTTTTCAGTGCCGTTATAACTTTAAACCAGTGGTTCTCAACCTTTTTAATGCCGTGGCCCCCCAACCGTTCGTAAGTCGAGGACTACTCAACCGGTCGTAAGTCGAGGACTACTCAACTGGTGCAGCACCGTTTGCAGAATGGGACTTTTGGCGGGCTCAGCAGGGCAGAGACAGCCTGGACAATTCCTATTGGCTTTTGAAAGCCAATAGAATTAGACTCTATTCAAGAGAGTCTATTCTATTGGCTTTCAAAAGCCAATAGAATAAAAGGGAGTAGCACAGCTAAGGAAAAGGGGAAAAAATGGCGGACTGCGTTGTTTGGCGACCCCCGTGAAATGGTCGTTTGACCCCAAATGGGGTCCCGACCCACAGGTTGAGAACCACTGCTTTAAACGGTCACTAAATGAACTGTTGTAAGTGGAGAACTACCTGTACTTCATTCAATTCTGCCAGCAAACAAAGAAACCAACAACAACAACAACAAAAAAGATAGTTATGTGTTGATTCCCCTCAGGGGATGTCCACAGCAGTTAAAAAAAATAAAATAAAAGGGGCAGGCCGCAACCATCGTAAGTGGGAAAAAAGGTCCTAAGTCCCTTTTTTCAGTGCTGTTGTTGACTTCGAACGGTCACTAAATGACTGGTTGCAAACTGAGGACCCCCTGTATCAGCCTCCTCCCAGTGCTCCCCTTTGCTTAGCCAAAACACCCGGAAAAGTCTCTACTTCTCTCTCCTCTCCTCCCACACTTTGGGGTGTGGGGCGTGTACTCTGGCTGAACACGGCCCCGTTCCCACGACTAGGGTGGTGCAGCCGGTTTATCCGGCAAGGAAGAAGCAGGCTGCTCTTCTGTTATTCCCTTTTTGGCACTCTTCCCTCGGATGTGTTTTGAATAAGGGGAGAGGAGAAGAATTTGACCGTCTGGCCAACATTCCGACAGTCGATGATTAGTTGCCAAACCTCCTTGTCAACATTCCCCAAAGAGACTCTGTTCCAACCCCAGATTGGGGTGAAGGGAGGAAGGGTGGACCAGGACTCCCCTGGGAACGCACTAAATCACCGAGATGGGAAGCCGCTGAGACTGGGATTAGCTAAGCCTGACCCGAAGCAGCTGCGAGAGGCTGCTTGACAGTTTGCCATAATCTGCAGCAGAGAGAGAACAGGGCCCAAGAGGGGTGGCATGTGACGGGAGTGGGTGGGGGGCAGAAGGATAACAAAATGATAGAGTTGGAGGTGGAATTTAGAATAGAATAGAGCTGGAAGGGACCTTGGAGGTCTTCTAGTCCAGCCCCCTGCTCAAGCAGGAGAACGTATACCATTTCAGACAAGTGACTGTCCAGTCTCTTTTTAAAAATCTCCAGTGATGGAGCGCCCACGATTTCTGGAGGCAAGCTGTTCCACTGGTTAATTGTCTTCACTGTTAGGAAGTTTCTCCTTAATTCCAGGTTGCTTCTCTCTTTGGTCAGTTTCCAATCATCGTTTCTCGTCCTGCCTTCTGGTGCTTTGGAGAATAACTTGACCCCCTCTTCTTTGTGGCAGCCCCTCAAATACTGGAATGCTGCTATCATGTCACCCCTGTTTCTTCTTTTCTTTAGACTAGCCAAACCCAACTCCTGCAGCCGTTCTCCAGGCCTTGGATCACTTTAGTTGCTCTCCTCTGAACTTTTTCCAAAGTCTCAACATCTTTTTTGTAGTATGGTGACCAAAATTGGTTGCAGTATTCCAGGTCTCCTAGTCCAACCCCCTGCTCAGGCAGGAAACCCTATACGCTTTCAGACAAATGGTTGTCCAATCTCTTCTTTAAAACTTCCAGTGTTGGAGCAGTCACAATTCCTGGAGGCAAGTCCCACTGGCTAGTTGTTCTCACCATCAGGAAATTTCTCCTTAGTTCCAGGTTGGATTGAGCAGAGTCCTGTTGCAGAAGCCACAAGGGGGAAGAGATGCCAAGGGGAAACTTCTGAAAGCAGGTTTTTCAAACTTGGCGACTTTAAGAGGCGTGGACTTCAACTCCCAGAATTCCACAGCCAACCATGCTGGGAGTAGAAGTCCACACGTCTTAAAGTCACCATGGTTGGGGAAACCTGGTTTAAAAGAGAGATGGCGGGATAGGGGAAACTGATTCCAGAACTGGTGCCCTTTTTTGCCTCCCAAAAAAACCACTCAACAAGGCCGGAGCTTCCTAATCCCATTGCAATAGGCCTGAGACACACAAAAATGTGCAGCCCTGAGGCCAAACAAGGCCCCGGACAGCTGTGCTGGAAGACACCCTCCTAAAAAACAGGAAAGGCAGTGACCCTAACAAGATTGAATTGAAATGCAACTAGCGTGATCCTCCTTGTGCGTGGAATAATTTGCCCAGCGAGGTGGCACCGGTTGGGCGTCCTTTTGTGAAAAGCGAATTAGGGTCGGATCTGGTTAGATCTTGCAGGGGACGCCAGCAGAAAAATGTGGCTTCAATATTAGGAGGTTTTTTGTTTTTTTTTTAAAAAAAGGGCCTTGGAGAAGAGCAGTGCCAAAGCATTTGTTATTTTGCTAAGGAAATTAAGGATATTCCATGAGGTGGCCAGTTGAGTCATACGGGGGGGGGAGCATAGGGGTCTCCAAAAAAGACAGAACTGTGCCAAAAGTGGGTTAGGAAAAGCACGTTCCCTGAAAGCAGCTAAACTTTTCCTTGGTTTAAAGAGAGCTAATTCGGAATTGTAAACCTGGTTGCTACCTCTACATGTCGGCCTCGACTTACAGCAGTTCGTTTAGTGACTGTCCGAAGTTACAATGGTACTGAAAAAAAGTGACTTATGACCATTTTTCACACTTAGGACCGTTGCAGCATCCCTAGGGTCTTGTGATTTAGATTTGGATGCTTGACAACTGATTCACATTTATGACGGGTCATGTGATCCCCGTCTGACAAGCAAAGTCAAGGGGGGAAGCCAGATTTACTTAACCCCTGTCTTACTAATTTAACAACTTGAGTGATTTGCTTAACCAATGGGGCAAGAAAAGTTGTAAAATGGGGCAAAGCACCTTTAAAAATGACTCGCTTAACATAAATTTTAGGCTCAATTGTGGTGGTAAGTTGAGGACTACTTTTATAATAACCAGATAGCATGGAGAAAAATAAAAATATTTGAATTTCAGCTGTAGCTTCACTTGGAAGAGAAGAAGAGAAGGAAGACCCAACACAATCAATATATTATAGTCCAAGTTTGGTCATAGAAGCACCCCTTGATAATTACAAAGCACAAGCCCTAATTTGCAGGAAACTCATTTTGAAGCTTAGTTAGCAGAGTGATTAATCCAGACAGGAACATGTCTTCCCAATCAATCCAATCCTTCTGCAGAAACATTTTACAAGTCCTCTTATGAACACTTTGGAGTCTGTCCACCTTGTACAAGTTAAGACTAGTTTTATGGGATCAGGCCAAGACCAGAAGTTTGTTTCTCAGTGTGGATAATCAGAGGGTGGTGAGGACTGACAAACAAGTGACAAGGACTCCATTTCTTCCACTGTTGTCCAACTTGGAGGAAACATGGAGTCTTCAAAACTAACAGCCCCCAACCAATGTGTCTTCGATTCATAGATCCAATTCTACTAATCGCACTGATGGTGTTACCTAGTTTGGGTAATGCAATGTCTGCAAGAAAACAACCAAGCTCAGAGAGCACCAAGGACCCCTCATAGATGCAATTCCCTTTTCAAGCCATCCAAGTTAGTGGATAGCATTGTGTCATGCACAACGAATCCCACAAGTTCATGATGGAATATAGTGTACTTGAAAGCACTTTTCCAAGTGTGCTTTCCGTGCTTGTCTACCAAATAAGCAATCTGGGGATTAATTAAACCTGCATATAGCCCCCATTGGGGGATCAGGACTCAGTCATGCCAATAAGAATATTAGCTTGTGAGAATAAGTTGTTCCAAATTATTTGAACGTCTTCTTCAGGGTTGGAGAAAATCCACTTTGGTTGGTAGTGTTTACAAGGAACCTTGGTTCCTTTGTGATCTCTGAGCTTGGTTGTTTTCTTGCAGATGTTTCATTTCCCAACTTGAGTGCTGATGAAGTTACCTAGTTGGGTAATGAAACGTCTGAGAGAAAACAATCAAGCTCAGAGAGCATCAAGGATTCCTCAGTTCAACCCCGAGATACAAATATTCTCTTTTACTGGAATATTGGTTTATATGGAGAACACACCTCTCTTGTTTTATCCCAAAATGGACTTTCTCCCTGGGCACCAAACGTCTCTGGAGGAATTTCTCATACAACAGAGAGGAAGCTAGGAGTTCATAAAGTCCTTCTGAAGTGTAAGCTGGTTTCTACAGTGGGAAGACTCTATGGCTGCAAGCTTTTGCAGAAACAGGATTTTCCAGAAAAATCAGTCACTACAACAAAACTCCATCAAAAACAAGGAGGCAGTAGCAGAAGTTCTATAATGATGATGAAGAAGAAGAAGAAGAAGAAGAAGAAGAAGAAGAAGAAGAAGAAGAAGAAGAAGAAGAAGAAGAAGAAGAAGAAGAAGAAGAAGAAGAAGAAGAAGAAGAAGTTGGAAGAGACCTTGGAGGTCTT